ATCTGAATTGGCTCAAGAACCTGCTTTCAGCCATGTTGCAGCATAATAACAGTCGTGCAGAAAGTGGCCGTGTCCCAGCTTTTTCATTTTGTCTTTCTTCCTTTGGTTTAGGATTCTTTTTCTCTCCAAGTTGACTGTGGTCATTTCCAATTCAGTAGACTAACCCAATCTTATAAGGAATGACCATAAACAAAAAGCAGAGAGGGCTTTCAAATTGCAGTGGTTTGTTTCTAGCAATTTTGTTTTTTTAAATATTTGAAACATATATTATTTAAAATTAAAATTCAGCTTCCACGCCCTTGAACAGACTTGTACACGCACTGACGGGTGTGCGTGTTTAAGGGTTGGGGAAAGAGCGTGGCTAGGTATGGTCTTTTTTCTCTGTTTTTAATGGCTAAATTGTCAAAGAAGGGAGCAAATGGTGCACCCACAAACACTTCCATATACCCCTTTCACACACACAAGTGCTCACACACCAGTTGCACACAGCTAAGCACTCACGCACCCATTTTCTTCCCAGTTTTCGGCAAACAAGTATTTGCATGTGCAAATTGAGGAACTGCAAACTCAACTACTCATATGCATGCACAGTTATCTGGTTTGTATATGTGAATACTAGTCACCTGTTTATGGCAATGTGGGATTTCACATAGCGTAGCTTTTACCCCCTTCTTTGAAAAATTTGATCCTAAACCTCATTCCTAAAGGATACAGTTTGCACATACTTTTTTAAAGGAAGAGAAATGAATTTAGTTAACAACAGATCTAGTCAGAGCTAATCTCCAAATATCAGGTAGCACATTATTACACATCAAAAAAAGGTTGTAAAACCCAACTTCTCCAAGATTCAGTAAGTATAGACATTTTCTTAGCAATAAAATAAAAGGAGTAACAACATTTTAATGTAGGTTTTGATCCAAGTTATATACATATGACACTGAAATCTTTTTCAGCACACACACACACAGACAGAGCAGATGCTTTTAGCAGGCCTGATATTTTCTCAGGTTTTTTTAAAATGCTGTGTCTTCTGCCCATGTCATCCTAAATGAGCAAATGTACCATATATGTTATTTAACAGGTCCCCATCTGTTTCTTCACGGACACATTTTAAAGTTCTAGATAGTGGCCGGGCGTGTTGTCTTTTTATAATACTTGGCTATAGTTATATAGTGGTAAGGATTTTAAAATTCTTACTGGTGTAAACATGGAGTTAATTAGAATTTAAATGGGTTTTTTTTGGGGGGGGAGGTGTTATTTTTTGAGATTTAAAACTTTTTGTTGTTTTATATTTTGTATTTCAAAATCATAATTTAACAATGTGCATTGATTCCACAAAGAACGGGTATCTAAACTACATGTTGTATGAATTTGCATCCATTATTAGCAAACTACCCAATTTCTTCAATTTATCCACATAGTACAATAGTATAACAAGGATAGACTTGTACTGGACATGTATAAATATATTTTCAAATGGCTCCTTCCATTTTAAATACACTCCCTCTTGCATAGGGGAGTCAGATGGAGTGAATCATTAACCTGTTACCTCACTCATTAAGAATTTAACATGGTATTGTTTTAGTAGAGAGTGCTTACTATATAACATATAATGATCGCTAAAGAAACTGAATTTAGCACTGTAGGAGCTTAATAAACAGCCTGTTATAAAGATGGGCTATATTTGCCTACATTTTGTCTGATGCACAAATGTCCCATTTCTGAGTATTTATTAATGAATCATTGTGAGTAGAAAGAAGCACAATTATTAAATTAAGTCCCTGATAGATTTTTGCATTAGTGCCAAGAATACAGCAAGGACGGTGTAGACGGTATGGAGAGTGGCACCTAAAAATATTCTGTCTTTTTACATTTGGTTGAAGTATCCAGGATGTATTTGTAAACAAGATTTTTTTTTTCTGTTTTTTAAAGTGTAGATCTTCTAAATAACTTATTTTAAGGAAGGAACAAAGGAACGAACAAATGAACCCTTAAAACACAACGCTGCCCATTTCTTCCTGTTACCCATATGGTGATTAGCAAATCGCTCCTGAGTTGCATGCTACCCTATGGGTAGAAGAAGCAGTTGCATAGGGCAGCGAAATGCTGATTGACTGAACTGTGTGAGTGATGTCTCTCCAGGGTGGACATGTTCTAGCTTCCCTACAGCCAAATAATCCGGTGCTGGGTTCAATTCAACAGGAGATTTTGAGGAGAATTTGAGAGAAACCCCCTTTTAGGACCCTGTTGCACGTCTTTATATGTCTCTCATATTAAGCTGATCACCCTCACAGGGAAAAATGGCAGTATTGCCCCAAACACTGCCATATTGCTATTGGAAACTGCAGTGGTTTGTGTCCATCACTGCAGCATATTGCAGGGCTTTTGGTTTTTCCTGTTTTTTGTTTGTTTGTTTTGTTTTGGGGGGTGGGGTGGTTCTTGCAGTACAGACAGAAGAAATGTCTTTTAACAGAATTTCCCGAAACAGCAGAGAACAGCGTGATAAACAAAATCACTCTGCTCAGAGACTCAGAACATATTTATTTTCTTTCATAAACTCCTTCTAGTGAAATATTTATAGGAGGGCCTGAACCAAACCTCCAGATCCATTCCTGCTGAACTTTGGAAAGGGGAAGCATTCCAAAATCCGAACGTGGATCTGAATTTCTCCAGCAGCTCCTCTTGCTTTATTGGTCAAACCTCAACTCAGAACATCCTCAAATTTATGGGCTGGGGTCGATGGCTACATCAGAATTTTGCGGCTTTGGTCCATAGCTAGAATTACTCTAAAAAAAACGTTTCTGGTGCTTGATGTGTTTGGCTCAACACTGTTGAGAGCAAAAGGAAAATGCATGGTTACTCTTCAGCTACCATTCCTGGGGCCGGCACCTTTTGCTGGACTAACTACAAAACAAGCAGACTCCTATTGCGAAGTAGACTGAAAACCTGAGCGCCATAGTATGAATGCATTGTAAAGTGCCATCTGCAATTCCACTTAGTGACGGTTTGCTTAGAGCAAACATGTTCTGTGAAAAATAAAAATATACTTTGTTTTAAGAGGGCTCCTATTTACTCCAAATAATGGAAGGTCCCGGATTCAGGGTTCTTAGTCTTGACCCCAAAAAGTCATCTGCCTGCCAATATGTTCAGACTAAATTAATAGTGAAGAGCTCACATCTTTGTTAGTGCACCTATCTACTATTTGAATAATTCCATGGAATCTCACTATCATCCTCTTACTCTACATTCATTCCAAAATGTAAAAAGGTCTTTACAATATTGAAAATACCCAGCCAAAAATTCTGTCCTCAGATACATACACAACCATCTCCATTTAAATCAACGGGAATTGTACGTAGGGCAAAATTTGGTCCAGGGTGTGTCGTAGCTAAATAGTCTCTTCCTGTGAGCGTGGTTATCCCCAAGGTGTGTGAACAGAGAGACCATAATAAAGTTGATACTTTAGTAATTAGCAGATTTGATTAAATTGCTCTATTTTTTCAGTACGGCCTTTCTGCTAAAAAAGAACAAATAAGAGCAAGAGCCTGTAGCATGCTAGATACTGATGTTTTATAAAAGAATGAAAGAAGAAGGATCAGAGAAACAAATGCTGACCTTAAGTAGTTTCTAAATCGTTACGTGCCTATAAGTACAATTACCTTTCCTTCAGACATCCTAGGCCTTTGTGCATTTTGAAAATATTCTAAGAGGACAGAAAGAAATGCTTTTCCTACTTTTGGTACACATCTTATACTTGTGCACGTGCACACACAGCTCAATGTATGTAGAAACACATTAATATCCCAAATGGACATGTACTCGTTATATATTAACATAAATGTAGCTGTGAGTACTTACTGCAGATAATGCAAATCTAATTTAAAATCCTGTTGAAATGTATGGTACACAGCTTAACTGGAACATGATTATGTCGCACGGCATCAGTGAATGCTTTGGGTCATTTTCCTAATCATCAAAAACCTTGTTTATTTGAAAGTTTATTGAGGTCCCCAAAACACTTGATGTAAAAGTGCTGTTTATGGTGCATTGGTTGTGTACATTGACTAGAGAGAACATGGATGAAACTCTTCATATGGATTTTCTGCATACACTTGAAGGTGGCCTCGCTGTCTTTCATCTTTGCTGACTTACTCAAATTCAGGCCTTTTCCTGCCCAGTCTCTAGATGCAAATTAAATTGATCTAGTTTTCCTTGATTTTATGGATTATTAAAATGTATGTCCATCTTCCCCCAAATTAACTTAAATCATGGATGTTTGCATGTTAAACCCACTCCACTGTCTGCCTGAGTGGGGTCTGTTTATAAACACCAACCAAATAAACACATAAGGTAAGGAAACTTTATTCATTTTAATTACCTGAAAGCAAGTGTGCAGGTATAGAAAAAGATGGGGGGAATCATAGCCTTTTTACCCTTCCTCTAATCCCTCAACAGCAGCTTCTGAGCTGCTAGGGTGTGACGTTTATTGGAAACCAAGCACTGAACGTGCCACTAAGGATCAACACAGCCCTAACTCTATCCAGCTAAATTAAAGGTATCTCTTGGGCAGCATATTGAAGGTGGTTGCACTCAGCATATAAACTTTTCATTTTTTAAATCCCAAAGAGAGAACTGTTGGGGGGAGGGTTAGAAACCCCATTTAATTACAAGATGTTATTCAGCTGTCGTATCTTTTACTCTGACACAACAAAGGCAGGCCTCATCAATGGTAGGTAGCTGCTGCTGCTGCCTCGTTCGCCCCTCCCCACCTTCCAAAGGATTTCTTTATAGCAAAGACTTCATTTTCAGCAAGTCCTGCAGCTGCCGGTTCTGAACTAGTGCATAACTAGTCATAATTAGGAGGACAGACATGCTAGAGGTTCACACGCAGATGCCCTCCTGCTACCAGAAGGGCGGGGATCCGACAGAAACGTTGTGTTCTGTCCCCACCTCAAAAGGGTTTTAAAATAGTTCCTTGTCATATGAAAAGCCTGCCTTACCTGTAATTGGGAGCTGTGCCTGCAGGACAGCAGAGATAACAATCCCCTTCCACTTCATCTTGCTCCCCCCGGATTGCACTGGGGGCTGGAGGCCGCAAGTTAACAGATAGTGGGATGGTGAGGAGAAAAGGCACCTCCACTGGCTTTGTTCTTCTGGCTGCCTCCACAGGAAGTGCAAGGTCTATAAGATCTTTCAGAGTCCACCTGCCGGCAGTGTGGCTGAAACACACGCTCCTTCTTTTGCTTCACAACCAGGAAGCTTTAGAGGTTTGGTTTCATATTCTTGGTATTGATGTTTGGGGTTTTCTTTTTTCCTCTTCTTCTTTTAGTTTTTCTGATGGAGCCTCAGAAATTCTAAATCAGCAGCAACTGAACTTCTACAAGAAGCCTATAAAGTACGCATGGTACAATATTCATTCACAGTTCAAAAGAGATGGAATATAACTGTATGTCCAATGTACAGTAAATCAGAAACCGAGGTGAAAATACAACTCGGGGCATAACACAGTCATCCTTGGACAACTACATGGCTCCGGTGATTGGCGGAGCTCTTCATCTTGGGTCACTGATTTAAATCCAGAACCAGCCACTAGTGACCACAAGTTTTTATCCTCTTTTGGCTACTCGGTGGCCTGTGTGAAAGGAGTTGGTCTCAATTTTGTTCCTAATAGACAAGTCTCCACATGACAGGAAAGCACCATCAAATTTGGAACTAACAGGCCCCTGTTGGGTGTAGGTAGCTGGGAAACTGCAATGCCTTTTGTTTTAAAGGTACCGCCCCTTCCTTTACATAGCTAAGAACTGCCTCTCTCGCCTCAGAGTTCAGCTGCCATTTTGTTCTCAGAGTTGCTGCAGCCTGTAGGGGAGGAGACGCACAATGTGCACTCTCCCGCAGAGACTCTGTCTGTGCCCTCTGGAGAGGCTGCCACAATGGCTGCTGACCTCTGCACAGAGGGAGAGTTCTTAGAAAATTTAAAAGTGTAGTACCTTTAAAACAATGGCATTGCAGTGTCTGAGCTACATACTCCACATCTCCTCTCACTAAAGGCCTGAGTGGGCCAGGAGACTGAACAACCCTCTCATCCCTAGAAGTGGTCCCTCCATGACGATATAGAGACACACTAGCAGGGTGCAGTGGGGGGATGTTTGCCCTGCTTCTACCTGAACTGTTATGCTCTGGGAATTAATAGGACTCCTTGGGGCTTTCAATCTAACACCTTCAACCAGCACTTAATATACAATTCAAAATAAAAGACTCAAATGGGAGACTACCAAGGCACCTTTTAGTAGCCCAGTTCCAATTTAGCAAACTACATAGGCAGTAACAGAAGAGTTATTTCAAGTGAATAGTAACTTGGCAGATTTCATTCTCCAGGGCTCTTTTCTTAGTCAGTTGGCCAGCTGTTGTCAGCTCACAGTGTTAATAATACTGAGCCATTCCATGGTGTTTTTCTTTGAGGAGCTCAAAGAATTAAATTAGCCTCACAAGCATGCCTGATGCAGCAGCTAAGCATTATTATGCCCAGTATGTAGATGGAGAAATTAGCTTGCCAAGGCAGGCAGAGCTGGGAATAAAACCCAGGAGTCCAGAGTTCTCTGGGGCATGAGGCCCCAGAATTTTTAAAGGGACAGACGGAACAGCAGTGGGAGCAAGGGGGTGGTCAGAGCACACATCTCCCTGAATATTACCCAATGAGATTGAGTTTTACCATTGACTTGAGCAGCAACGGGCCAATAAAAGGAGCAGAATTATTTAGGCTGGTACAAAGGAGGTAACTAAGAATTATGAGATGAAATTAAGAAAGGGGAAATTTAGTTTGAATACAAAAAAAAACTTCATAACAGGGAGGTCTGTTAAGTTATGGCACAGTCTCCACCGGGAAGTGGTGGGGAACTCCATTGCTTGGAATATTTATAACAAAACTGGACAAAACCCTCATCAATGCAATGTTGTCAAATCTTGCAACTTTATAGTGAGTCAAGTCCACAGTGGAGATAGCAAACCTTCTCTGAAGAGTTAAGAGAAGCTTTTAGCTATCTTGAGTATATGTCTAGCACAGTGGTTCCCAAACTGGGGTTCGTGAACCCAGGGGGTTCTCGGGAAAAAATTCCCTAATGGCGGACAGAGCTGTCCCTAGGGACCCTGGGCAGCACGGGACCAGAAGCCCGGAGCCCTTGGACTTCCAAGAGCTAAGCAGATCAAAGCAAGCATATCTATCACACTGAGGAGATTTAAACTTCAAGACTCCTTATAAGAAATGGAAAGGGAGGTGGATATTTTTTGCTGTTTTTTTTAAATTAAATAGGCATTTATACTCAGGTAAAGGAGAAAATCCCTGGAAATATTCATTTTTAGGAGCAGGTTCGCACGACTTGACATTTTAGTGAAAGGGGTTCACAGGTTGTTAAAGTTTGGGAACCACTGGTCTAGCATCATGTCTATTGGGGAAATTACCCATTACTGGCAGAGGGAGATGGGTTTAACCATGGTTTCTGGAAATGTACTGAACAGTTTGGTATACTGTACACTTCCATTTCAACTGTGCTCAGCATTGTTAAGCTGCACCTGTTTCTGACACCTGTTGCCTATGATTGGTAAATTTCCTAGAGTACACAAAGCATACATTGACCAGATGCTGTGTCAATATGCCAATCTCTCTCTGTCTCTCTCTGGCCATAGGCAGGCCTAGCACAAGCTTCTCTGATACAGGGGGCTAATCCATCGCCAAAGGCAGCCTGTTTTCATTCTTGCTGGGTGTGCTTGCCTGAGGTATAAAGAACCAGCAGGGTTTAGAGTTTAAACAGGAAATAAATGAAAACTAAAAATGAACCTGCACCACAGTCAAGCTGGGGATAAAAATAATGATACACTGCCCTCTGGCTCATGCACTGCTACCACAGAGACCCTACCTGTAATCATCACTACAGACTGCTGGGATTAAGGACAGATCTGTTATCAGCATATCTGATTCTCCTGATCCTACCTGCTACAGTTAGTACTTGCAGACAAACTTAATACCTCTGTCACCTGTTGGAGGATCTGGAAGACGTTGGAGACAATGTCTGTAGAGCCTGGCCTATTTTCAGCAATAAATGGTAGTGTTGTAGTCCCCAGAAACTAATTCAACACCAAGCTCTTACAATCATTTTTGGAGATGCTCACACAAAGATAATGGATACCAAATAGACAGTAGTAGTTCTGTATGGTGAGCAGGCTGTAGCCCACAGCTGGACCTGCCATTCATGCACAAGACTGCAAAGAAAAGAGAAGTGTGCATATCACTGTTTATGGTATGCAAGCTACTGACTTATATTGACAAAATGTAGTCTAGAGCAGCGTTTCTCAAATGCGGCCACCAGGGACTTTTCTTGTGGCGACAGCCTCCTGGGCTGGGGAAGTGGGGGGCTAAGTAGCGGCCCCTCCTCCTCCCTGTTGCTCCTGGAGGCCCTGCCTTGGTGTTGGTTGCTGGGGCCGCCAGCAGGGGTTGGGCCCTGCCCTCCTTTGGAGACACCTGGGGCACAGTGCTGGAGGAGCAGGCACCCAGTGAGTTCCCCACCTTCCCAGGGGTGGTGGGGCTCAGGCTTTGGGGTTCAGCCTTGGGGTAGCGGGGTGGCAGGCTCTGGCCACGGGGCTTCGGACTCCAGTCCCTGTCTTTGGCTGCACTGCAACAGGCCCCAGGTTCTGGCAACAGGGATTCAGGCTCTAGTCCCCCGATGCCTCCCCTGGCCCCCCATCCAGGGCTTAATTTGTCCCCAGGCTTGACAGGGCTGAGTAAGTCTGCTGTGAAAAGTGATACTTGTATGTTTGTTAATATCATTTTTCACAGCAGACTTACTAGCTAGCAATAAATAAATTACAATGATTTGGACATGTGTATGTGCATATTTATTTGTTTTTCCTAAAGCTAATTACCGGTAAGTGTTTTAGGAAAAAGTGTGAGAGCGGCCACCAGTAAGAGTTGGTGGCCGCACTCGGAGGCCACCAAAAATTTTGTCCTGAGAACCCTCAGTCCAGAGGCAGTCAGTCCTATATTGCTCCACTGCATTTTAGTGCATTGGAACTTATAGTGAAACTTCACCCTGCTATAATTGCCTCTATGTGCTAATCCCCTGGAAATGCAGTAATGATTGCACAAGTATTAATTGTTGCATTCCAAGGGTATTATCCCCTCCCGCTCTGCACATTTGCCAATACCCTGTATGGAGAAGTATAAGGAAGAATTCCTGGCTCCTGCTCCAGATGCTCCCAACAGACAGTGAAGAGGAGTTTGTCTTACTACAGCTGCTCCCCTCTGGGAGTGAAAATATTGCTTTCCTAAGGCCTCCCACTCAGCTTCCAGTATCCCTTGCAGCTGCAGAGTGTAAACAGAAGCCCTGCCACATCTAAAGTGACAGGCTACTGTAGAATAGAAGAAAACAGACACCTGTGTAACACAAGAGATAAACATGTCCGTGAGTGTACATGTCCTATGGGAAATAAACAGGCGTCTGTGTATTATACCAGAAAACTCCCATTCGCTGCTTAGTTTCTTGTGACTTGCAGTCATCTGTTCCTGCTTTGTTTTTAAATGTTCAGCCTGATTAACGTGTTAGAAATATATCAGACATTAGAAGAACTTTAATGTGGGGCACCTATGAACATGCACCAGTTCTCAGCCTGTTGAACAAGCATGACAGTGTCACTTTCAAGATGCCTGATATTGAAAAGCAGCAGCTGGTTCTTACACCAGCAACAACCTGTTCAGACCACAATTCTTTGGAGACCCTAACTGATTATGAGAGAATGTAAGAAGTAGGCAAATCGCATTAACCTACAGAAAGGGAAATAAGCAATCCCCCTGGTCGTTAATGATTTGACCTCTTAATTCCACATTGATTTCTGATGTAGTCTATTTTGCTGTCACAAGTTTCACAGGTTTACAGTCCCTTGGACTGTATGTAGGAAAATTCCAGAACTTCTTTTCAAAGCAAACACTCCCAAAGTGTTGACTTCAAGTATGAACCAACTTCAGTACTTTATTCTCATGTTTATACAAACCTCACTAGCTATTATGTATT